ATTAACGGCCTATATTTAAACCTTTAGGAAGGTCAATATTTGGTTAACTGGTTACGTAAATTTTATATATATAAAAAAGGGGGGGAGGAGGGAGAGTTATAGTGTATTACCTTGTATTACTGTGGGGATCTGCAGTTGGGTTGGAAAAAATATTAATTTTGCAAAATCGTATTGCTCATACTACCACTCTATAATTTGAGCCCTCGCGAATTCCCTATATGACCGTTTCAAGAACACTAATATTTTACAAAAGCAAGCGAGACGGGCAATATATAAATTCTCTCCTCCTCGCGGGGCTCTACGGCACCTTTTCAAGAAGATTAATGTTTTGATACATCTACGTTGTTTATTTTTGAGAACAGCAAGTACATACATAGTTATGTACAAAAATTATAAATTTATTTGATAAAATACGCCTTTCCCCTATAGAACGGGCCACGGTGATGCGCAGGAGGTTCCTGATTGGCTTTTTTTTAGTAAATCCATGAAATTTTATAGTAAACTCAAAACTAAAAATAATGCAATATTAAACTTGAAATCCTTGCCAAAGAAAATTTGTAAAAAAATATATTGGTTAAAAATAGATCAATATATCCGCAATAGAACCATAGTTACCGATATAGGCCAACGGATTAGTAAGCTGAAGTGACAATAGGTCGGCCATATAGCTCGAAAAACCGACAACCGATGGCGAAGAAAGATTCTCGAGTGGCAGCCTCTTAAAGGTAGGTGAAGAGTAGGGCGTCCTCCCACTAGATGGAGTGACGACCTGGTAAGACATGCAGAAAGTCAATGGATGCAGGTGGCTCGGAACCGTGATTTGTGGCATCCCTTGCGCGAGGCCTATGTTCAGCAGTGGACTTGTAGGCTGTAATGATGAATGATGATGATGATATTGGGTTCAATGATGTGTGGAGATAACTCTTATTCTGCACTTGCAAGTCCCCTGGCTACTGATTTTGCTTTGTTAAAACTGATATATTTAAAATATATTAGGACTTCCACATTGTATTTTAATAAAAGTTGTGATTGTAAATGAAATTACATATACATAAACACTCACGCCTGTCACCCAGAGGGGTAGGCAGAGACTACGGACTTCCATTTGGCGCGATCCTGACACACCTCTCTCGCCTCTTTTACTTCCATATATCTACGCATACACGCTCGTCGGTTAAGGGTACTCCTAATCTGGCCCATTTTTAATGTATCGCCGATTTGGTCGATAAACCTTCGTCTAGGGCGTCCCTTCTCGACCCTGCCGTTCACTTCCGCAACATAAATTTGCTTTGTCACTCTTTCCTCGTTCATTCTTTCTACATGACCAAACCACCGAAGCATTCCTTTCTTAATCCTTGTCACAACGTCATCTTGCAAACCACACTTTTCTCTTATCAAACTATTTCTCACCCTGTTATTCAGATTCAGCCCTAGCATACTCCTTAAGGAACGCATTTCTACAGCATTTATTCTACTCTCATGCTTCTTCTGCCAGACCCAACTTTCACTACCATACATTAAAGTAGGGACTAACACAGCATTATGAATTGCCATACGTGCCTTAGTTGACACATTCTGACTCCTCATAATAGCGTGTAGAGCCCCATTCACTCTATTTCCTGCGTTCACTCGTCGTTCTATATCCTTATCATATCTACCATCCCTGCTAAATAAACATCCCAAATATACAAACTCATCCACTTGCTCAATCAACTCCCCTTCTATTCTTATTTCACATAAAGTTTTACTTTCTTCTCTTTCAAAAACCATCACTTTCGTCTTACTTGCGTTCACTTTCATACCCCTTTCTTTCAATGACCAATTCATTAAAGTAACCATCATTTGCAACTCGGCCGCCGACGATGCAAATATGACTTGATCATCGGCGTACAAAAGGCATTTGACGGTTGACTCACCCATTCTCAACCCACATTCTTCAACTTTCAAAGTTTGCAAACAACTGTCCATAAATAAGTTAAACAGCCACGGGGAAGCCACACATCCCTGTCTGACACCTTTATGAATGCCAAACCAGTCCGAGTAGACCCCGTTGATCCTGACACAAGCACTAGAGTCCCTATAAAGAGATCTTAATGCCTGTATCAAGCCAGCGCTCAACCCAAATGAGTTCAGTGTTTGCCATAACACATTCCTGTCCACTCTGTCATAAGCCTTTTCCAAGTCCATGAACGCACAAAAAACTTTCTGGTTTTTAGCCAAAAACTTCTCCGCTATCATGCGCATGGAAAAGACTTGATCCGTACACCCCATCCCCTTTCTAAATCCAGCTTGCACATCCCAAATTTTTCCATCAGTTTCTTCCATAACTCTTTCAATTAACACCTTAGCATACAGTTTACCCACAATGCTAAGCAAGCTGATACCTCGGTAGTTTTTACAGTCCTGCCGCGACCCCTTTCCCTTATATATTGGGACTATAACGGCTTTGCACCAGTCTTCCGGTACCCGTTTCAGTTCCCAACATAAATTAAACAAGGTGTGCAGCAGGCCTGTAACCACACCCTCACCAGCCCTCAGCATTTCGAGTGATACTCTATCATATCCGGCTGCCTTACCTGCTTTCATGCTTTTCATTGCTTTCATTATTTCATCTACACTTATCTCCCTACCTCTCTCCACTTCTTCCGGAATTTCTATTTCACTTATTCCAGACGACTCTTCACTCTTAAACACGCTTTCAAAGTATTCCTTCCATCTCTTTAAATTCGAAACTTCATCATTCAGCATGCAGCCATTCTCGTCTCGTATAGCATTTATTCTAGGCTGTTTTGAATTTCCCCTGGCAGTTCTTACGAGCTTCCAGAACATTTTAATATTTGCCTGGAAGTTATCAGATATCCTTCTATCATTCTTATCTATCCTTTCTTGCTTTTTCCTTTCAACAACTTCTTTTACTCTCTTATTTATACGTCTAAAGTCTGCCTTTTTTCTTTCAATTTCATCATTCATACCGCCAGAATTACCAGCTTTAGTTGCTAGTAAATCTAGCCATGCTCTCTTCTTTGCTTCAACTTCCATCCGTACCTCATCATCCCACCACAACGTATTACTTTTCCTTTCATTCGTTCTCTTACTTACACCGCATACTTCGGTGGCTGCATCCACCAAAACTTTCTTAATATTATTCTATACATTCTTCAATTCTAAATCATTCATACATAATTCATTCAACCCACTTATATTTTCCCTCAATCTGCATTTATACTTCTCTTTCACACCTTCATCTTGTAACCTCTCTATTCTTATACGCTGTAACGCAGTGGTAGACACCGATGTCCGATGCCGCCAACGTCTGAATAGACCATTAATTCGACATCAGACCAAGTAATGATCCGTCCCTACGTTGGACCCCCGGTAAACCCTTGTATCTACCACTGCGCTCCTCATTCTTTCATCCACAATTATAAAATCTATCATGCTTCTATGATCCCCTCTTTCCCATGTATACATGTGAATCCTCTTATGGCGAAAGAAAGTGTTCGCCACAAAAAGATTCTTTTCCACACATACGGTGAGGAGGTCTTCACCATTCTCATTTATTCTTTCATCGCCGAACGTTCCTAATATCCTTTCATAACCAGACCTCTTCACCCCAACCCTTCCATTAAAATCTCCTAACATAATAATATTTTCATTTTTCTTACATTTCATCAACACCAGCCTTACCATGTCCCAAAACTGCTCTCGGATATAAGTGGGCTTAGATATATCTGGGGCGTACACCCCTAGCACAAACAACTTCTTTAAGCCCACTTTCATTCGCATCCACAGCAGCCTTGGGCTAACACATTCATACTCTTTCACACATTGACCCATTCTTTCTGAAAGGATGACACCGACTCCTTGGCATGCCCGCTCGGTCTCGTCTACTCCAGACCAGTAAGCGGTATACATGCCATGTGCAGTGACATCTCTTCCCTTTCGTTTCGTCTCGTTTACACATAACACATCTATTCCTCTATCATTCATCATTTCGCATACTTCATCCATCTTATCATTCATTGCTCCACATACATTCAGCGTGGCCAGACGGGCCTCCGCAATCCACTTTTCGCCCCCCCGGGAGACAGGACGTGACGGGTGGCTTTTCTCCCGGAGATTCTTCGCACCCCTGCCCCATTAAAGGGGCGCCGGGAACTCGGGGCCATTTCTTTTCCTTCTTGGCTCATGGTGCGAACTAAGTGGTGGTAGATTTTATGCCGCTACCATACGGCGAGGAGCCGAGTCTGTCGTTTCGGCTTTGTCGCTCGTTTAGCACCACCCGGGGGACACGTGTAGGGTGGGCCTAGGATTAGGTGGTCGAAGCCTACGGACGCGAGCGACTCATCGCGAAATTGTAAAATGGTATAAAAAAATTTAATACCCCAGAGTTTCTCTGAAAAGGTCTTGTTTCTGTAAACCGGTGTAGATTCTAACTTTTGTATGAACTTTGTACGAGAAATTGAATAAAAATTTTTGCTTTGGGTTTGACTGTGATCCCTATGTTTTACTGACACTAAACTAGTTAGTTTTGAGGTAAAGTCATGGTTGACATGCCTAATAACAGTTGGAGACCGCTTTTCAGTTGTCACACGGAAGCTAACCACATGGGATCTGATAAAGCAATATTACTCAGACGTTTCTGGACCGGTGAGAAGAATACGTGTGAAGAGCGTCAGCGCGATACGTGTGATGTAGCGATTATGGCAAATGCTCCATAAGCAGGCATATATACGATACGAGTATGTCAAAGAAGTCACGAAATGAAGGTCAAACTAGAGGAAAGGTTAATGTTGCTCAGCGACACTATATAATTTTTAATTTAAATAAGTTTACTTTTTGAATTAAGGATAAACTGGATAAATAATACAAATTTCGTAGTTATCTTCTTTATTTGTTTCGTCTTACATTAAATACTTATATACACATTAAAAATCTAAAGTAACAGTTACATAATTGTTGCAGTGGTAAGTACTATAATTTACGGGAAGTTGATGTATTTAATGATTTTCTTTGCTATTGTGGACATTGGCATGGAAACCGGTTTCCCAATCTGCAACGTAGTTTACTGTTCGCACCGAGCCGTCCGGTTCCACCAGCGAATATTGACCTGATAAATTTATCAACATCTGTAAATCTACGCGTTTATAGTTGTGTAAATTGTGTAGTATAATTAAAAATAACTCAAGGATTAAAAGGTAATTAATTTAAGGCTAACAACAATTGTTATGATCAGGTCTTTATTATACAAATCTTATGTACGCCAAATACATTTAAATTATGTTTGATCACATCAACAACAAATTTAAATGTAAAGGACCGCGTGGTCCAGTACTTAGGGAATTTGACTATTGAGTTGCGGATCTTGTGTTCAAAGTTTACTCGAGGCTAATGTTTGTGCAAAATTATAAATTGTTTCATATTAATCAGCATTTTAGTTGTGGTTTTTCCCTTGTTACTGAAATACGATGTACACTTGAGAAGCTTTTATTACCCGACTGCCAAGGAAGTGCTACACTTATTGTACACACAATGGTAGGTTAGTTCGATTGATTTGTCTGTGTGTCTGCGCTAACACAGTATCATAGCTGTTGTTTCCATCAGCATTTAAGAGTTTTCGTCATGGTTAAATTGGCTATCACCATCATCATGAATAATATTAGTAATTACAGTGTTTTTATCTTTTGAGTATGTCGTAGTAATAATGATTTCTTGTATTTACGTGAATACAGCACATTAAATGACACTAGTCTCATATTCGGTCTAAAAGATAAAAAATTAATATAATATATTATACCGTTAAATGAAACTAGTTTTTACTGATTTGATCGCGTTTATTAACCTATTTTATACGAAGATTATATAACGATATAATTATATGTTTATTTTTTATCTCTCAGACAGGATATAACGAAATAATTACTGTTAAAATGATAATTAATTTTGTTTTAAAATGAATCCAGGTAACCTAGTGATTGTTAATATTTCATCAGATTTTGTTATTGAAGCATTGAATAACACCTTGTGCAGTGTGCAGTCTAAAGACCGTTTTGTGTAATGCCTTTTACGCGTAATATGTAAGACTTGCTTTAAAATAATATAAAGTAGAACATGTTTTTCGTACCTCTGACAACATCTCCATCTCGCTCTTCTTTCTGCTGCTTAATATCACCAGTATGCGCATCGTTTACCCCATATTCGAAAGCATACCGTGGATGAGTGTCCTGAAAAAACAGCATTTTTATAATTTAGTATGCAGAAAGTGAGAACATGATCCAACAAGATCTGCGTTTATTAAGTGACTTGATGATGAGTTTTCTGTCAGAGTATACCTAACGTAAAATAATTCATCAACCAATTTCATCTGTGGGTGAAGTAAAAGGCGACTATAGAAAATGCCAGAAAGTTCTTAGAGCTTCCAATATAACCAACGGCTGGGTAAAACGCGCAGTATAACCCGTTTTCGCCAGCCGTAAAAAGCCGAGAAAAAGATCTATTGAGGAAAGAAATAGTCCTCTTGTCACCTTCTAAAATAAGAATGAGTACTTCGACATTACCTTATATATTATCTAGTAGTACGTAGTTCTGATTTACCATGTGCTCGGCAGTAAAGGAAAACAACGGGATGATCTTGAATGTCTGAGAAACTACAAAGAAATATTTGGAAGACATGCGAGTTTCACCGACATCTGGGGCAGCGAGGTAGACATTTCCTTGCCCTAAAACCCTCTCAAAAATGAATGGAGTCCTGTGCCCAGCAGTAGGACATTTAAGAGGTCTAAAAGCAAAGGCGCCTTTGTCCGTGAAGTCTTAAACTTAGATAAAAGCGATATTTGTTTTTGAAATTGGGGAAATGACATAGAAGAATCTTTTTTATATTAATAAGGAAAGAACATTGTTGTGTGATTAATACTTTAAGAAAAATCATATTTATTATTATTTACGTATCTTTTTTAAGTTTAAAATTTGGACAGAGGTGTATCTGCTTCTAACCTTTGGACAGAGGCTTCTCTGCCTCTAACCGGCCAGGACATAGGCGTATCTGCTTAACTGTCAAGACACAGATATCGTCTATAACTTCAATTTACAGCAATGTACAGCTATGAACTCTTAAATAGAATATTACAAATCTTACATCACAAAATTGTTGACAGGTAACCTAATGAAATGAGTGATTACTCGATATTCATATAAATAACATGTTTACTCCTTCACTCCTGACACGCAACCAATATTATGTAAGAAGTAATTAACACAATTTTAAGTTTAACTGGAGAATTAAATACATATGTACATAAACATAATTTATCACGCCTGTCACCCAGACGGATTGGCAGAGACTATAGACTTACATTTGGCACGATCCTGACGCACCCCTCGCTCCTTTCATATATATATATATATATTAAGAATACATGCTTGTCTGTTAAAGACACTCTTAATTTAACTCATCTTCAATATATCGCCTACTTTGTCGATAAATTTCCGTTAGTGGTGTCCTTTGCTGACTCTGCCACTTACTTCTTCAGCACACATTTGCTTAGCCACTCTTTTCTCATTTATTCTTTCTGCGTGTCCAAACCACTGAAGAATACATTTCTTAACCCTGCTCACCACACATCTTGAAAACCACTTTGTTTTCTCTTTTATCCATCTCACTCTATCATTCAGTCACATACTATTGGATAACATACTACTGGAGAATACTGAAGAATCTTAATACTTTTGATATAGTAAAATTTGGTTTAACATATTTAAATTGAAAAATGCAATAAAAGGTACACTTTCATTTTAGCCAAATAAGGAGCGATCTAGGAAGTCGACCGAGGGTCGAACTCAAAACTAAGCGAAGTCGAGGGCAGAGGGGACTCACTAGATGAAGTAACAATTTAGTTAGAGATGCAAGTTGCTCAGGGCCGTGTTTTAAGGTTAACCGTGGTGTACCTTGTGGGAGCTCTATGTTTAGTACCGGACTTGTGATGGTATACATATAATGATGATAATCATCATCGTCATCATCGTGAAATGTTTTTAATTTATATCTGTAGGAAAGTAACACATCAAAAACTTACGCTTAAACATCTCAAGATACATTAAATAAAAAAAATAACACAACGACACCAGTATTACATTATTTTGTATTTTTCAAATTACAGAAAATAATTTGTACGGTTGTATCTGGCCTCACTATCTCCCTATTGGGACTAATGGAAGTTCTTTTCTCTTTTATAAATACTGAAGTTGATTCAAACTCAGATTTATATATCAATTTGAGATTATGTCTCCACGAAATATTTAGTGAAAACTACTAATATTTAGTGAAAACAATTTTATACTGATTTTGCAATAATTATGAGTCGAATTCATTCATATGGTGAGGATGCCATCAGTTTTGTTCTTGAGATATGCGAGAACAAAAAGGTTCAAGTTCAACAATTACTAAACAGCAACACCTAAATACGAAGTTCATAATATATACATGGTTATTGGTATTTTAGGACTGGTTTTATATGGCCGGGCGCTTCTCGCTAAAACTTAGATTTACTTACAATTTAAATTTATCACATTTGTAATTTTTTAATTTAAGTGTGAATGGGCATATCGAGGCTATAACGTGGCTCAGAAGGTAGACATTTCGACATTATAGCGACATATGTCGTTAATTAACAGAACTAATTGCTTGTATTAATTATGTGTACTGATTCGATAGTCAATGCTATTAGTGAACTTAATAGATTATTAATATATATTACTGTATTGTAATAATAATGTAGTTAACATCTCGCTAAGCTTATTAAAAGGTAGTTGATAATTAGTCTTCTGTTTTACATAGGAAATCCCGCGGAAAATGCGAACTGAAATCTAGGTAAAGTATGAAATTTACAGCAAATGTGAATTATCGCGAATATCGTCAAGTTGCGGGTCACGGCTAAGTAACTTCTTTGGTTGGAAAGTCTGTTTTTAATCTATAGTTTAAGCCCGATACTAAGACTGTTAAACTCCAAAATGCTTGAAACATTTACAAAAATGTCTATGTTAAGTTGAACTCTAGTTGTGACTGTTAAGCCACATTTAATAGTGAATTTAGGTCCTAAACAATTTTTGTTTTGAATATAGCATACTCTAAATACCAGTTATTTGTATACCAATAATATTATTAATAGCTTGCTTAAATTTTTAAAATGATTAAAGCGGTTACTCTTAAAGGAAGCGATAGTAAATATACCCTATCAAATGATCTAGAGACTTGTTTAAATTATGTACGTTTACTAAGTCTCTTTAATGTCAGTTATGTCATAGATTCGAATAGATATGGCACGGATTCCTGTAAAACTGTTTTAATATAAAAACCGTTTTGATATATAAATCTTTAAAATAAATAATAAGAATTTTGCGACGTCATTGTTTCGAACTTATTAACTTGTTACTTAATATGTAAAATTTGTAAAGGTAATATAATAATATAATTATGTAGGTACATTATCAAAATGAAGCAGTTGTTGTAATCAAATTTCATGTCAAGCTTCCGACGATACGGAAAACATTATCTATGTTCTTTATATTATACATATAAAGAACAAAATTATTACGTTGTAAGATTGTAGGGCCGACGGGTATGAACACGGTATTTTGCAATAACCGGGTGCGTAAATAGTATGTAACTTACTTACCTGTGTGTCTACTAATAATTATTCTTATTTTTTATAGAATAAATTAATAAAAGTAAGTAATTTGAGAGATGCAAATAATTATTAACATTACATTATATAAGTTTTAATTCAATAAATATGTTATTTCTAGTTATATTTGTATTTTTTAGTTATTTTTTTATAAGTATTACTGTATCATTATTACATTAATCCTATATTATATAATGTTAATAATTATTTGCATCTCGCAAAAACTGTAGAAGAGGGATACTTACGTAATTTTCCACAAACTCGGTGTGGACGTTCTTGACCCCGACATTAGCACCAACGATCGTTGAACGATATCCATTAGTAACTGATGGAGATGAATGTTGCACTGCTATGGCTGGGGCAAAGTACTGTCTTACTGCTGGTGCAGAATGTTGGACTGTAACGGCAGGGGCGTACTGTGATATTGATGAAGCAGAATGCTGAAGTGTTGGATACTGTACTGTCGTTGGGACTGATTGGTAGACTCTAGCTGCAGGCCGCAAATACTGTAAGGTTGATGGGGCAGAATGCTGAGTAGTAACAGCAGGAGCTGAATATTGTGAAACTGTAGGAGTATAATATTGAGTTGCGGGAGCATATTGGACTATTTTCGATGAGTATTGACCAACAGCCGGTATGTTGAATTGAGTACCGCGTTGATCACTAGATTGGGCGTGATATTGAGCAACAGTTGGAGCACTGTAAGAAGATACTTGTGATACAGAGGGAATCGCATATTGAGAGATTGATGGCGCTCTGTACCCTGAAGTCACTTGAACACTCGGTGCTTGCTGATATTGACGTATTACTGTTGGTAATACATTAGTATAGCTTGAAGGGGTAACTTGAGAAGTTTGTTGAATTCTTAGCGCCGGCGACGTTTCATATCGAACAGAAGGTGCAGCATAAACTTGGGATACTACCGGTCCCCCTGATTGAATACTGTACGAATTAAGTGATGCTTTAGCTGGGGATCCTGTGGCTATAGACTGTTGGGTTGCTAAATTGTTAGTCACATATGTAGTTTTAGCCGGTGACAGTGAAAATCTAGCTATTAAAGGAGCTGCAGTTACTTTAGATATAATTGGTGCTTGTGCGTATGTTGCTGATGGGGTTATAGTTCTTTCAGATGAAGATGCTGACGATAATCCAGCTGATGTCTTGTAACCATGTACTTCATTTTGATCAGTAGATTGTACAGCGTAATTCAGTTGAGATGAAATAGGCGCCTTATATGCCATAGCTTGTGTTGCTAGTTGTTGTGGGTAGTCTCCTTCTCTGTAGTGGTTAGAAGTGATAACCGCCGTTGTAAGCTGTGTAGAAGGTACAGGATACGAGTAGCCTGAATCACCATATCCTTGCACTTTTTCTAACTGACTTAGGTGGTAATTAAGATCAGGATCATGATAAGCAATTACGTTTACAAGAAGTGAAGTGGTTAAGATAATAATCTGAAACAAAAACAAAATTAAGTTATTTGAAATATTACAATAATAATTAATAACTAATAAAATGAAACTTTTAATAGAAGATATCGCGTAACATACTTGCAAAAAAAAATACACTCGATTTGGGATTTCCTACCCATAAAATAAGTATGATATACCAAAAGCTTACTCAAAATTCTTTAATGGTTGAAATCTATTAAATTCTTAACCAAATCTACAGACAGACCGGATAAGCGAATTTACTGTTACAGCCTATTAAATTCCACTGAGAAACATAGGTCTCCCTCATAGAATGCCTCATAAGGGGGATAATTGCCATAGTTGACACGCTTGGCAAGCGGGTTGGCAACCGCATTGTTATACATTATGTCGATATTAGGAAGACGCTGCTGTCCATCTCCTGGTTTGTTTTCCTCTGTCGCTTCTTACGACACCCACGGGATGATATGTGGTAGTGGATATTCTTACACCGCCACTACACGATACTGGCGAATTTGTTTTATAGTTTTCAGTTATAAATACAGTGTGGCGGCGTTACAAATGAATTCATCACCCTATTTTGTCCTATGGGCGATTGTGTGATATGCTAAAAAATCATGGTTTCCGATAGATGATGGCACAACCACCTCGTTAACGCCGGTCATTAATTACCCAAACCGGCAACAGAGGCCAGTGTCAAAGGTGGGTAACGTCAGATGCTGCGATCGTTAATATGTCAGCGAAGCGTGACAAATATACGTGGTAGAGCCATTCTGCAGCTATATTAGTAGTATAGTTGTAGCACGAATGGGTCGGATCGACCGGGGAAGGACCACGCTCTCACAGAATACCAGCGTAAAATGGCAGCTTGATACTGCTGTGTTTCGTATGGTGAGTGTAGAGAACCGGAGACCCATTTTACTGGAAAAGAGGCATTCCATCTTAGTCCTCACGGGTGACGACGCATCTGCATTTTGATTCTTTATTGAGGATAAATGTAGATGTCTATGGGCCGCAGCAACCACTTACCATCAGGTGGACTGTGTGCCCGTTTGTCACCCTATCCTATATTAAAAAAAAATAAGCGTAAAAAATCTTCCCTACAAAGGTAGAGGCCTTTATCCAGCAGTGAACTTGGTGAGTTGATAAACAAGGGGAACATTAAGTAATAAAATGTTCTACACGAAAATTTACTTACCGATTTCATAGTACTGTTATAAATATGATTAAACTTTGTAAGATACTATTGTTAATGTTCAGATCGTTAGATAGTACACACCGCAATATTTACACTCGAAAAATTGAATTGTATTTGGTAAACAGCGTCATTCGAAATGAGAGCAAAGTTTGCCTGCAAACTCTTATATAGTGGTCTCATATGTGTAAGAACGGGTCACACTTATTCACATTCGCCGATAGCATACTCGGTGGGCGCGGCCTCAGTGTATTACTCGTTACTTACTTCCATTACACTACATTAAATTAAATTTTCTCCTTATGCATAAAGCGCGCAGTGTATGTTGCATTGAACTTAATTTGTTGTTGTTGTCATCGTGAAATCTGATACAGTACACAGGTGATAAATTTAATAGCTAATAAATATTTCATAGAATTAATAGTTATTGACAAGTAATGTTCTAAGAATCTTATTTAACCCTTTTTTCATGATAAATTTCATTTTTATTATAGTTCGTGGGCTGTTTGCGACTTCTTATTAAGAGATGAACTGCGAGATCATTTGTCACTTTATTATTAAATTGTTTAAAATATTTTAAGCCTTAAACAAAAATATTTTTAAATAAAATAATAATTGGACAATATATTACACAACATTAAACGTTAGCGAATGAGATTTATTGACCTCATCTCTACTGTTTTGATTAATTGATTAATCCCCAAATTGATTTTATTTTAATATTATTTATATTTATTAAAAAACTGTCAGAGTTACTCTCGAAGTTTTTATTAAACTTCTCAGATACTTAGCTTTCATCACGATGTTTTTCTTCACCGTCATCCATGTAGTAATCATTATAGTCATCATCATAACAACGCATCACATGTTTACTGCTAAACCTCCTCATAAATTGCCATTAAGCACGGTCCTGAGTTACCTGCATTTTTTATAGAATTAGGGTAACAAACGAGCACACGGTGCATCTGATTGTAAGTGTATGCTGAGGTTCATATACACCTACATCTATCCTCGATATAGTATCAAATAAAGATGCGTGTTCCCCCTGAGGTTTTATATAGAATGCCTCGTTAATAAAACGGATCTCTAGTTCCTCATAGTACGAAAGACTATTTTACGCTAAAATAAAGCTCAGCACTTAAGTAAAATTACCTATATTATTTCTAAATTAAAAACTATTATTATATCATACTTAGAATATTGGTATTGGTACAATTTGTTTTTCATAGAGGTCACAGAACCTCTTCTTATGTTTCGGCTCCACAAGTTATCACTGGCAACACACTCTGGTGGAGTTTAAGATTTTAACAAACTTCGATTTGCCGACGATATATTCATAATAGCAAAATCGAACTGCAGTAGTGTCTCCCAACGGTCTTAAGATAAAGCAAAAATCATGCCTAACGTCCATTTTACAAATTAACCGGTGGTTGTTGCAAACACTACGCTGAAAGGTATTGACGGAGATTTGTGCCTAGGGCTAAATGCATGATCCGTGCTCCAAGTACGTGGGAAACGTTAACAATTGCATTGGTGCCGGTGGAGATCGAACTTAAAGAAAATCGAAATTTTAAAGCGAGTGCATATCCCCTGAGCAACCACGGCTAATTATAACGTATTCATAATATTACATAAACATAATCTTTCACGCCCGTCACACAGAAAGGTAGGTAGAGATTACGGACTTCTATTTGGTACGATCGTGACACACCTTTCTTGCTTCTTAGCTATGCTCGTCGGCTAAGGGTACTTTTAATTTGGATTTGGATTTGAATCTTTTTTTATAGGATGAGGGTGACAAGTGAGTATACAATCCCCCTGATGGTAAGTGCTTGCTGTGACCCATAGACATCTACATCTATCCTCTATTACAAATGAAAATGCAGATGCGTTGTCACCCGTTAGGTTAGTCCTCCCTGAACATTTCATTTACAAAAATGCCTATGTTTTTTAATAGGATAGGGTAACAAACGAGCACACAGTCCACCTGATGGTGAGTGGTTACTGTGACCTATAGACATCTACATCTATCCTCAATAAAGACTCAAGATGCAGATGCGTTGTCACCCGTGAGGACTAAGATGGAATGCCTCTTTTCCATTAAAAAGGGTCTCCGGTTCTCTACACTCACCATATGAAACACAACAGCATTAAGCCGCTATTTTACGCTGGTATTCTTTGGGAGGGTGGTCCTTACCCGGCGAGCCGACCCATTCGTGCTACTGCTATACAATTAATATATGTAGCTGCAGCATGGCTCTACCACGTAAACAATAATTTAAAATAATGTCGCCAACTAGGTCTATAAATTTCCTCCTAGGGCGTCCTAGCAGCCGTTTGCAGCAATATGATTTATCACTGCTTATTATTTCGATATTTACTGTTATAACATATAAGAACCAGTATTCAGATCTCGCGTTTAAACTTAAACTCCATAAATATAGTCCAGATTCAAAGAGCCTAAAGTCTGCTGAGAAAAGAGACTAAATAGATTTGTAGATATTTTCGATATTTGTAAATTTTATGTGTTATGATACGCCGTGTAGTGGCGGTCAAGAATATCCACTACCCCATATCCTCCCGTGGGTGTCGTAAAAGGCGACAAAGGGAAACAGGCAGGAGATGGGCAGCAGCATCTTCCTGATAATAGCCAAAATTATAATAAAAAAACTGCGGTTGCCAACCCGCTCGCCAAGCGTGGCAACTATGGCAAATACCCCCTCTATGAGTGTAACAAAGGTACGGCCCCCAGTCCCCGGTGGCCCCGCTATTCCTGGCTACGGTGGCGACCATGGTAACGGCGGGGCAGGGGGTGCTAAGAATCTCCGGTGGAGGTTCGGTTGCCACCTTAGACGACTTGACCTGGCAACGTACAACGCACGCACCCTGAGGACTGACGAGAAGATCGTGGAGCTGGAAGAAGAGATAGACAAGTTGCGCTGGCATATTATAGGATTATCCGAAGTCCGAAGAGAGGGGGAGGACACGGTAATCCTCGAATCCGGCAACTTGTTCTATCACCGGGAGGGCGACCATCTGTCCCAAGGAGGTGTCGGATTTATCGTCCACAAGTCTCTCGTTAACAACGTTGTAAAGATCGGGAGTGTGTCGACGAGGGTTGCGTATCTTATACTCAGAATCACCAAACGGTATTCGCTGAAGGTCATACAGGTTTACGCACCAACCTCGGCACACCCCGATGAGGAGGTGGAGGAAATGTATGAGGATATCTCTAGAGCCATGCATTCCTCCAAAACCCAATATACGGTGTTAATGGGAGACTTCAATGCATAACTAGGCACAAGAGAGAACGGTGAGCTGAAAGTAGGGAAATTTGGAATAGGGCAACGGAACCCAAGGGGCCAGCAGCTGGCCGACTTCATGGAGAAAGAGGGACTCTTTATGATGAACTCTTTCTTCCAGAAGCGGCCCCACAGGAAGTGGACCTGGTCGAGCCCCGACGGTTCGACAAAAAATGAGATTGACTTCATTATGACGACCAGACGACAACTGTTCAGTGATGTCTCCTTGATCGCGAGGGTGAAAACTGGTAGCGATCACCGAATGGTTAGAGGCACACTGAACCTAAACGTTAAGTTGGAGAGGTCTCGTCTAATGAAGTCAACGCTCCGTCCCCCTCGTGCTCTGTTCCAAAGTCCCGAAACCTTTCAGCTCGAGTTACAAAACCGTTTTCAGTGCCTAGAAGACTGCAATGAAGTGGACGATATGAATGACAAGCTCGTGGAAACTGTCCATGCGGTCGGAGCTAAGTTCTGCAAGACCCGCCGCAGAAGAACACAAAAACTCTCCGATCACACTCTTAATCTCATGGCTGTTAGACGGGAGATGAGGCTACATTCTTCAACAGACTTGACAGCATACAGGCATCTGAACAGACAGATCTCCAAATGCATGCGGCGGGACTTACGCAACTTCAATACAGCTCGTATTGAAGAAGCGATCGAGCGGAACCAAGGCTCCAAAGTCTTTGCCAGAGATCTGTCTGCCAGAAAGAGCCACCTGTCAAAGCTGAAGACAGAATGTGGCAGCATCGTTTCCGGGACACCTGAGATTTTGAGTGAGATTGAGAGGTTCTATGGGCAGCTGTACACGTCATCGTTGGAGCCACACGCAAGTGTGAGTAACGATCCAAGAGCGAGTCTCATCCGACACTATTCCGAAGATATCCCGGACGTCAGTCTAAGCGAGATTAGAATGGCTCTCCAGCACCTTAAAAACGGTAAGGCCCCAGGCAAGGATGGAATTACAGCGGAGCTTCTGAAAGCGGGTGGAAGACCGGTACTTGAAGTCCTTCAGAAGCTCTTTAATTCCGTCCTCCATGGTGGCATTACACCAGAGGCGTGGAGCAGAAGTGCGGTGGTCTTGTTCTTCAAGAAAGGTGACAACGCTCTCTTGAAGAACTATAGACCGATTTCCCTTCTGAGCCGCGTCTACGTGCTGTTTTCGAGAGTCATTACGAATCGTCTCGCGCGCAGACTTGACGACTTCCAGCCTCCCGAACAAGCCGGTTTCCGAAAGGGCTTTAGCACCATAGACCACATACATACCCTTCGGCAAATTGTACAGAAGTCCGAAGAGTACAATTTGCCACTATGTCTGGCGTATGTGGACTATGAGAAAGCCTTTGATTCCGTCGAAATTTGGGCGGTGCTGCAGTCCCTTCAGCGGTGCCAAGTTGACTGTCGGTATATCGAAGTGTTGAAGTGCTTGTACAGTAGGGCTACGATGGCTATCCGAGTACAGAATCAGAGTACGAAACCTATCCAATTGCAGAGAGGTGTAAGACAGGGTGACGTCATATCCCCGAAACTCTTCACCGCTGCATTGGAAGACGTTTTCAAGCTTCTGGACTGGAAAGGATACGGTATCAACATCAATGGCGAGTACATCACTCACCTTCGATTTGCCGACGATATAGTCCTTATGGCAGAATCGCTGGAGGACCTAAGCACTATGCTCAATGATCTCGATAGTGTTTCCCAACGGATAGG